CCTCAAGTAATTCAACTGTGTTAACATATCGCTCTCTTCCTCCTCCTTTCCCCCTCCTCTCCTCCGTGTTTCCTTTACAGCGAGGATGACCAGTTGGACGGCAGGGGCGTGTTCTTCCGCATGCTCAGGCCCGAACTCGTGCGCAGCTTCCGAGTCCCTCTCTCCTCTGATACCTTTACCGGGTTCGTCCCTCCCCCCCCCCCATGCGTGCATGCCTGTCTGGGTGCAGTATGCGATAGGTGTGCTGCTGTCGAAAATATATTTTATTTTTATTATATATATATATATTTAAGATGATATCATCACAACTGCCCTTCCAACCTGGGGGTTGTGTGCGTGTGTGTGGCACATGCGTATCGTGCAGGTGGGGGATGTACGACGACAATCGTACGGAGTACGAGCTGGACGTGCGTGAGGCCACCAACCTCGTGATCGAGGAACGTATACCTGCTCTCGCCGAGGAGATCGACCAGCTCAAGTACCCCCCCCCACACAAATAACATTGACATAACAATTCTATTTATTATTAACAAATTAAGTATACTATAACCGCGTCGTGAATGGTGACCATGAATTGATCACTGCGCCTTATATACCGTTCTTTTTCCCCCTTTCTCCTTCCGCCCCACACAATTGCTGGGCACGCACATGATCGCTGTCCAGCCTCATGAAGGACATAGGCGATGGCAGTTGCGTCACGCTCACCCAATTACAGCAAATCCTGGAACAGCTCAACCTGGTGTCCAGGCAACTTCCTCCCTCCCCCCACATATCCACCCTACCTATCCCAGCATGCATGCATTCGTTCAGATGCGCCTGTCCATTGACGGGAGGGTGGCCCTGCACCTCTGTGTCTAACACACCACCTTGTGTGGCGTGGCGTGGCGTGGCGTGTAGAATGCACTCGCGAGGGGTGAATCTGCGCCATTTGGGCCGACTGCGCCAGCAGATGAGGTCGGACAGAGATGGGCGCCTGATCTTCTCGATTGCCCTAAGTCGGGCGTTCAAGTCCAAGCTGCGCGAGCGCATGCGCAACAGCGTACAAAACCAGAAGCACTCGGCATCCGAGGTGAGTTACCATTATTATTTATTGCTCCTCCTCCTTTCTTATAAGATTTGACGACAACCATACTTTCATTTGTACAGAGCGCGTGTAAAGATCTGGTGTTGCATTTCTTCAACACAGTGTTGGGTCACACCAACGAGGTTAGTGTCCCTTACATTGAAATGAACACTCGTTAGTGCCTTGGTTTAACTAACTAAATTGTCATGCAGTCGGATCACTTCTGGCAGAGGGGCATCAAAAGGACTCTGAAGCAGAAGTTCCCATTCCTCCTCACCGAAGAGGAGCGCCACGAGGACTACGATCTTCGCGGGGTCGGCTACATTAAAATGGTTTGCAGCTTGATGCGCCACTCTGTGAATGGCTGATAAGGAGACGGCGATGGCACAGGCACTGATGCTGGTTCTATTCTGTCGGGCCGCTGGTGTTGTGCTGTGTTTGTGGTGTGCATGCGCAGGCGTTCACGCTGAGCTTCAATCTGGGCCTGGTCCAGCTCCCGAGCGTGGTGACGGAAGCGATCTTCAAGGATCCCACATCCGTGCAGTTGGTGGAAACCGATATCCTGAGCATCCCCGCCATCGTCAAACACACGCATCTCGTATGTCGTCTCCTGAACCCTTCGTTCGCGTGCGTATTCCTGTCTAACGGCAACTGGGTGGGGCCTCTTTGTCGCTCTGTTTGCAGACGCACATCTTCAGCAGCAACATCTGCATGCTTGAGGCAGCCACGAACAACCACAAGGTGTCCGCTGCACTTCGATTACTCTACCAGGCCCGAGAGCACCTCGTAACGGCGACCAACATGTTGGCGTCGTTGTGTCCGTACGCCAACTGGGTGCTCGGCTGCGTTGAGGTCGAGATAGCGTCACGCCTGCTTTTCGATCAGGAGGCGGAGCGGCTTTTCACCAGCTCCTACAACAGGTCCCCCCCCACGCAAAACAGAAGCGGCGTTGCTTTATTAACGCTCCTCCACCCTAATGAAAGGTTTGAGAGGTCGTGCCAGCTGGACAAGGCAAACCAAGCACAGCTTAACTCGTGGGCCGACGCACTGGAACAGCATGCGGCACGGCTGGCTGCCAATGTCGGCGACGTTGGGCGGACGGAGGAGCTGCGTGCACTAGCTGCAGTCAAGCGGCATCTCGCAGCTAGGGCAGGTGTGACAACGTACTCTCTCATCACCATGTGGTGAAACTCCAACAAGTGTCACGGCTCAGCCACAGGGCCATGAGCAAACCCGTCTTCTTGTTCTCTACTCAGCCACGCCCAGTACACCCTGCGCAAATAAAAAAAAAGCAAAGAAAAAAATAAAAATAAAATAAAAAGGTGAGGTCCACCACACCAGCAAGATATTTATGTTAACCAGTTAAATTGGAATTTTCCTTTGTTAGCTGGCTGAGCTTGCTTCACTCAGAACAACATGGGTAGGTCAGGCCCTGACACCAGGAGTTGTGCACCTGGAGCACAAGTGGTGTGAGAAGGTCATCCCCAAGGTCAGCTTCACTTTGCACTGTGATGGAGATCAGGGATATTGGAAGTGGTCAAGAGATGCACAAACACATGAGGACATGTGACAGATGTAGGGAAGAAAAGAGTGAATGTATTGAGAATGTTACAAGTGAGAACCAAAATAAGGAGTATGAAAAATACAAAGAAAAAGGTGAGACAATGAATGTCCAACATGCTGCCATGAGCTGGGCTGCCCCCTCCCCTTGAGGTGGCCATCGCCACCATGTGTGCATCATGTAGCTTGTCAAGTTGAGTGGGAAGTCAGTCAGTAAGTAAGTAAAACAGAGCAGGCAGGTAAAGTCAAGTAGGTCAAGTAGTAGGAAAGTAGGTCAAGCAGATAAGTAGGTCAAGTAGGTAAGTCACATTGGTAAAAAGTAGGTTATTAGGTAAGTCAAGTAGGCAAGGTGGCAAGGTCTGTCTGGAGCCAAGTGTCAAAATCAATATGGATCACCTCTGGACTGTACATGGATAAGACAATCAATTTCCTGGGCAATCTGGCCATCATCACCATGATTGACAATGACAAGGTATGGGATGAGCCCAGTGCTCAGTGTCATTGTGGCCACTGGCTGTGATGTGATCCCCAACTGTCAGGCCCTTTTTGTGCCACAGACCAGGGCCACCACAGCCCTCAATCTAGTTGAGGGAGTGATGTGCACATCAGCAGCTCAACAGAACTGGAGACCAAGGATTGGCTGGAGAATTTTGTGATCCCCAAGAGTGAATACCCTTCATGGATGGTTTGTGGTCAGACCAAAACTACACTACATTGTCCAACAGCTGGATTGGAAGCTGGAGTTCTGTGCCACTGGGTGTGGTCACCAAGTTGTACTGCTACCTGTGCCACCCCTCACTGTTAACCCATCCACCACCACCACCACCACACACACCCCACCCTTCCCCAGAGGGGACCCCTCCCAATATTGGAGTTGGCTGTCAGGCCACTGTGGGGGTGTGTGGAGTTGGCCATAGGCCACTGTGGGGGTGTGTGGTGGTGGGAGATCCAACCCCACTGGACTGTTGAGATGAAGCCCATCACCATGGACATGAGGAGTGGAAGCTGAGCATACTGTTGTTGGTGAGGATGAAGGGGAGGGCCTCCTTGGGTGGGTTGAGCATGAACCCATTAGCATTGTGAGACCATGCTGGATGAGCACCATGCCCTTCCCTCCTCCCTGTGTCCATGAAGATGCAGTGGACAGTGAGTTGGCCAATTTAATTGGCCAATGGCAGTGAATGGCATTATAAGGCCCACTTGCACCTGCCAGGCTAAAGACTGTATTTAACACATGCTTGATCTCCTGTGTCTCCATTTGATTGACAAGGCAGTAGAGTTGGTGGGGGAACTGGCTGGTTGATGTGGCAGACGGGTTGCTGATTGGGCTCACCTGGAGTACTTCTGGATGAGCTGGAGGACGTGTGGGTAGATCTTCACATTGGCATTCTGGGCCCACAGGAAGTCAACGTGCGAAGAGGTGGGCTCATAGTGCGAGTACACCGCCGGCGGGTCTGCACCATTATCAAATTATCATGGTTTTAATTATATATAATACTAAACGCTACGTATATGAAGAGGGTGGTGGAGGGAACACGCACTGAGCTCCTCGATCAGACGGGCCACGTCAAGGGGATCGGCCAGGTAATCGTTACCTGCAACAAAGAAAAGATCAGAAAATCAATAATACGAAAATAATATTATGATAACAATCTTGTGCACGCATGGTTGGGTGGGTACCGCCGGTGAAGAGGGCGACAGGGAGGTTGGCCGGCATGTTGGAGAGGAGGTAGGGCGGCGGCGTGCTCTGGCCGTAGCGCTTCATGTTGCCAGCCGCGCCCCAGTCGTACCTCTGGAACTTGTCGGTGGCCGCTCCCTGCGACCTGATCGTGTCGTGTGACAAACCAATCAACAGCGCCCCCTCTGGTCAGCTCCCTGTCGACCAGAGCGACCCAATGGCACGAGGGAGAGGGGGTCGTACCAGTGGATCATGTTGAGGACGGAGGTCGGGTTGGGCTCGTAGTTAAAATAATACGCCAGCCTGCGCAGGTTAACACAAAAACGACTTTCAATAATCGATCCTAAATTACATTTCAAGATCTGCGAACCTGGATTGGTTGAGCTCGATGGAGGGACCCATCATTGAGGTCAGTATGTTGTTGCAGATGGGCGGGTAGAGGATGCAAACACTGGGAAGCGCCCACAGAAGGCGAAGGTCAGGGCGAAGAACGCCAAGAGGGCGAGGGTATGAGGGAGGGGGGGGGTACTCGGGGATGAGCTTGAGGAGGGCGGTGGGGAGATTAAACTCAGTGATGCCCAGCAGCAGCAGGATCTCGATCGGGTCCAGTTGGGCCATCGTGGTGAGCAGCAGCACCTTAACGTGACCCACGTACGCCGACTGACAATCATCACACCATTTGTCAGTGGGATGAAAGGGCAAAAGAATGAAGGAGATGGTGGGTGGTGGGGGGGTACGGGGGCGAGGGCGACGAAGAGATTGACGCGGTCGGCGATCGAGTTGTTGGCCGAGAACCCGGCGAACGCTTGGATGGTACCCTGCCCATGCCAGCACCATATACTGTTAAGCGAAAAGAGAGAAAGAGCGATAATTGAATGTAAAGTAGTTCTCTCACCTCGGAGTGGCCAACGTAGGACAGGCTGGCAGCACCGCTCGTCTTCAGGATGAAGTTGATGTTGGCCGGCAAGTCGTATTGCGCCATATCGTCATACCTGCGCCGCACAATTAATGTGAAAAAGTGAATAATAGTTGAATGACAAGAACAAGGGGGGTGAGTACGTGAAGTGCCAGAAGGCGGGGTCGGCCGTGGTGTAGACCTTGTGGCGCATGCTGTAGCCATTGCCTCGGTTGTTGCCCAGCCACACCTCGAACCCTGCCAGGCGTACTGTAGGGTCAGCGTCATCATCACATGACATTCATGAGGAGCATACCATTGTCGGCGAGGATGAAGGGGAGGGCCTCCTTGGGCGGGTTGAGCACGAATCCGTTGGCGTTGTCGGTGAGACCATGCTGGATGAGCACCACGCCCTTCCTGCCGCCCTGTGTTCGTGGCGTGATGACAGGATGACGGCGTAGACGAAGTTCAGGTATGAGTGGTATTTATAATTCGGAGGCTATTTACACAATTCAGGACTTTAGGCCGTTTATCTTCAGGCGGATGATGGGTACGCTTTTGGGGGTGGCAACAACTGTGTGCAAGGCAACGTACCGGGGTGGTGTGGTAGATGCGTTGGAGGGACAGGTAGTAGCCGTCATCGGTCAATGCCCAGTAGTCGTCACATTTCTGCACAGGACAGAGATGGGCAAAACGAAGGGCGAGTAAGTCAACCTTCGTGGTGGTGGGCCGATACGGGTGGGGGAGTTGGAGGCGGTACGTAGCCATAGTCGCGGATGATCTCGGTAACGTTGGACGGCAGCGCATGCGACGATGTGGCCAGGGTGGCCAGCACGACACAGGCCACCACCAATGCTGCAGAGAACCGCTTCATCGCCACGGGTGGGTGTGTTTGGTTCGATCGCGACGGGACGAGAGCAATAAGAGCAGGGGGTTTGTTGCTTGGCCGATAAACATGGACAAAGTCTCCGGCGCACCAATGGGGAGCAAAGTGGCGATTGGCGACGTCAGCAGCCCCCTCTAACTGTATGCAGGAACGAGGAGCATGTTCACTATCAACATTCCACGCAAAACGGGAGCTGCAGAAAGTTAGTGGGAGAAAAGGAGCCAATAAGCGATTGGCGATAAAAATCTTAGGAGAAAGGACATCTCCGGAGCTTTGTGGGGCAAGGGCTTTTGTGTGGCTTTATTTTGCGACTTGAGCACCACACATCTAAACCCCACAGTACTGTGCCAAGGCTTTGCGGCCAGTGCAACGAAGTGTCTGCTACCATAATGGTGCACTGTTGCCTCCACCGCGCACTGCTTGTCGTCCTGCTGTTTGCCTCCTTGCTGTCGGGGCTTGCGGCTGCTCACCAGCGAGGCGGAGGCGGAACCAACCTCGAGGGCTCTCCGTCGCCGTCGCTCTCGCTCTCTCTGCTCACGCCAGCGACCTTCGGGGATGGGTTTTTGGTGATCAACGCCTCGACCTCGACCTCCAACGTCTCGCGCGTGGCCTTCTCGCTCGTGCCCAAGAGCGGCGCCTCCTTCAGCACCACCGCGCCCAGCAGGAGTGACCCGTCGGTCGTGGAGGTGGTCGTCGCCTTCAGCAACCAGCGTCTGGTCCTTCTAGGCCTCCGTCTCGCTAGCTCCGCCCTCATCAACGACACCAGCGACTCGGTGGTCTACGCCCGCGAGCTGGTGGCGCCTGTCGGCCCGCTGGGCGGCGTGGCTGTGGACTGGACCCGTCGTCGTGCCTTCTTCGCCGAGAACACGGGCGGCAGCGTGCGTGCCGTGTCGCTCGACCTGCCGGGGCCAACGGCGCTGGCGCAGCTTCCCGTCTTCGCGCAGCTGCCGTATCTACCTTACGGAGGCAGTCTCCTGGGCGACCTTGCCCTCGACGTCGGCCGCGACACGCTGTACGTGGGGCTGAGCATCAAGGATGGCAACAACTGGCCCGTGACCGCTGTCTGGAGCGTGCGCATGGACGGCTCCGGGCTGGGTGTGGCGCGCAACCTCACCCGTGTACATTCCGGATCGATCAACCCTCCGGTGCTTGCGCTCGGCGCCAGCACGCCGGGGAGCGGGTCGCCGCGGCTGTTGGTGCTGACGAGCCTCCAGGCCTCAAGGAGCTTCTATGATCTCACCGCCTTCGGCCTGCCACTCACGCCCGACTCGGGCAACGGCACTGTGCTGCAGCTGTCCACCGCCACTGACGACCCGACCGGCCTGGCGGAGGACGGGCAGGGCTGGATCTACGTGGCCGACAGGAGGAGGGGCGTCGCTCGCCTCCGCAACAACGGCACGGCCCTCACCCAGGGCTTCATCCGGCTCACCGCGGACGAGCCGCTCGTGGCGCTCGGCCTCGTACAGCCAGGCGAGAGCGATTCTCTCATCAGCCGCGGAGGTCGCCTGCTGCTGTTTGGTGCCAAGCGTCGGTTCTACGCCGCCCCTCTGCTCCCGCCCGTCAACCTCACCGTGTTGGCCGCAGCCCAGGGGAGCGACAGTGTGACCGGCCTGGTCATGGACCCGGTCAGCTGCCGCATGTGGTACCTGGAGAACGGAGGGGCCCTCGTCACGCGTCAGGCCAACAACTGGCTCCCGGCCACGCGCCAGATCACTCCGTACACCTACGCCTCGTCCAACCTGGCCATCAACTCGCGCAACCAGCTCTACTTTGCACGCAACTTCCCCACCACGGGCGAGGTCTTGCGCGTCGATGGCGACGTGAGCGGCGGCAACATGAGCGTCCTGGTCAGCTCGTTTGGGCTGCAGGCCGATGGCACCGCCATGGCGACCGACCCCGTGGGCCGCAAGCTCTACTACCTTGCGAACGGCATGGTCTTTAGGTCCGAGCTCGACGGGTTTCGTCCCGCTGTCTACGCACGCACGAGACCCGCAACCACGATCAGCTCCTTCGCCCTCGACGTCAAGCAGCGCCTCATCTTCTACAGCGAGGGCAACAGGCCTGGCTGCGACATCTACCAGGCCGAGCTCGACGCGTCCCAGAAGTCACCGGTGCTGGCCTACTCCTGTCCCCTCAGTCAGCGGCGCCACCCTCCGGTGTCGCTCGCCTCCGATCCGGTCCACCGCGTCCTGTACCAGCTCGAGTGCCCCGGCACGTACCCATCGTGCTCTCTCTATGCCATTACGCTTCGGTCCCCATCGTCGGACAGCTCGTCTACGCTCCTCGCTTCGTTCTACACTCGCCTCCCCACACGCGTTCAGTTCGACCCGCAACACAAGACGCTCTTCTTGAGCGATTCGACCGGCAAGACGCTCCTCCGCTGTCCGCTCTCTGGCCAGGCGTCCTCCAACTTGACCTGCTTCGATCTTCATCTCAATCCGCACACTCGGCTCGTCGCGATCGCTGTCGATGCCCCGCGGCGCCAGCTCTATGCCATCGACAAGCCTAGCTACACCGTGGTGCGCTTCGAGCTCGCCGAGCCCGACTCGTCGCAGCCCAACCTGGGCAACTCGTTCGAGGTGCTCCATCAGCTCCGCGACAGCGAGCTGCCGGATGACTACGCCCCGCAGCACATGCAGATCGACCCTGACGCCGGGCTGCTCTATCTCCGGACCGCGACAGGCATCGGCCGCGGCGTCATGCACCACGCCACGCCAGCTCCCTACTCACCGATCGAGCCTCTGATCAACGATTCGGTCGTGGCCTTCGCCACTGACCCCCTGCGCCAGCGGATCCACTGGGTGCGAAGCAAGGAAGCGAACAACCACGTTTACCAGATCGAACTCTGGTCGGCCGCGCTCGACGGCACCGACGCCCGCCTGCTTGCCGACTGGTTGACCGGCTCGCCCTGCGGCGCTGGCGTCCCCGTCGCGCTCCACTTGGACCCGCCGTCGCCGGCCAACGCCTCGGTCGTACCGCCGGCCTTCTGGACGGTTTGGAGCACCTCGACGGTCTGCCACTGGAACGGCACCGTCATGCGCCGCGTGGTCGCCGCGGCCAACTACGGCAGAGTGAAGAGCACGGCCTACGACGCTGGCCTGCAGCGGGTCTACGTCACCGGCACCTACTGGCAGGACGTGCCCACCATCTTCGTGGCCGACGTGCGCAAGCCGGCGGTGAGCATGTGGAAGCAAAAGGACGCGGTGGCGCTCGACGGGATAGCCGCGAGTGCTGCGGGCGGCGAACTGTACACCGCTCAGCTGGCCTCGAGGAGCATCACCAGCTCGCAGCCGGTCGTGTTCAGCTGGAAGACGAGCGAGCTCTCTGTCAAGCGAGGTGAGGTGCTGCGTGCGATCCCGCCGGCGGCAGCCCTTATCGACACGCAGGACCCAGAACGCCTCGTTTACTTCATCGACCAAGAGGGCTCCTCAGTGTGGACCGCGCGCTCCGACGGCACCGGTCAGCGCCTCACGCATCGCCCCATCCACGCGGAGTACGTGAACGCCAGCGCCTTCTGGGTCGATTCCGCCCTGGGGCTCTTCTACTGGACCGAGCGCCTCCGGCTCGACACGCGTGTGGCGCACCTCGACTTCCTCGATCACGTGGCGACGGTGTTGCTGGTGCCGCTGGCCAACAGCAAGACCGTGCTGGTGGACGACCTGCGCGGCTGGATCTACTGGAGCGACGCCTCCCAGGGGCGAGTGATGCGGGCGCGCATCGACGGCGGAGGAGTCGAGTGCTTCTGGATCGGCGAGTACTACAAGATGACGCAAACCAGGCTGCAGGCGGTCGAGCCCGTCACCGGCGACCTGATAGTCTTGGCCTATGACGCCTCGGTTCCTGATGTGAGCGTGAAGCGGCGCAGCCTTGCCACCGGCGAGGTTTCCGTCTTGCTCTCAGTTCGCTTAGGCATCTTTGGCCCGCTCTCGGGGCTCGGCGCAGCGCAGCTCGACCCTCGCACCGCTGGCGACGACGGCTGCCTGCGCCTCTGGCTGGGCGCCGCCGTGGAAGCCAACAGAGCGGACCAGGGCTTCATCGCCACGGCGTGCGCCGGCCAGAACAAGGTCACTCGCCTCGTCGACCTGCCGCAAGTACGCCAAGTCCCCTGGACGATGCAGCTCCTGCCCGACCTCGGCCACTGTCTGCCACCTTCCGGCCTCGACCTGTGACGACGGCTTCTGCAGCTTCTTTTCATTAATTAAAAAATTACATTGTGTCTCCTTCAAGCTGTACATCATCATCGTCACCATGTCGTTGTTGGTGGTGGTGTTCCAGTTAGGACTCATTCTTGCCACGACCGGGACTGTAGATGCCACTACCCGCCTCCCACGAGGGACCCTCCTTGCGTATGATGGTCTCGGTGCGCGTTTGCGTCTGGAAGAGGTTGAGGAACAGGCGCTCCTGATCCGTCAGAGTCTTCTTCTTGGCGAATCGGCCACGCCTGCGAGCGTACAACAAGAGCAAGTCGCACCGGGTGAGGCAACCACGAGCGGGATGAGAACAACCAACAACCAACAACAAGAGAGGGATTGGCGGAGAGCGCACCTGCCGCCCTTGTACAGTATTTTGCCCGTGGAGGTAAGCCGGGCACGAGGCTGCAACTTGATGGAATTGAGGCGATAGCGACCTTTGTGATGGTTGTTGCGGTTTAGTTCACGTGCGCGTGGTTGGCTGGCTGGCTGGCTGTGAATAGGCGAGGGAGGAGAGCGCGCGCATGTACCGATAATGTAGCCGATGAGAGCATCGCTCACGCCCGTTTCGATGAGGGTGAGCGTCTGCAGATTCGGGAATGCCGACATCAGCATCTGCAGTGCTGAATCGTTGGTCGGCGTATTACGCAGCGACAGCTTCTGCAGCGTGGGTAGCGTTTCCTGAAAGTACAGCGATAAGCTGAAGGACTTGTTGGGGAGGGTTTTCAGTCGACGGTGAAAGGTACCAAGTGAGACGAAAGGACCGTGACGGGCGAGCAGCGCCCGAGTGTGAGAGAGCGCAGCTTCTTGCAGCCGCGGGTGAGCATCGAGACCGTGTCGGTGCGGATGTCCGCGTGGTAGATCTGTTGTGCAAGCAGTCGACTCATGAGTCCTACCACAGTTACTCCTCTCTCTCTCTCTCTCTTCGGGAAGACGAGAAGGCTGAGGCCTGTACCTTGAGCACTTCGATCTTGGTCGAGAAGTTGATGACCTGGTACACCCACGAGTCCGTGATCTCGTACCGCGTGCCGGGGTTGCTCTTCATGCCCACTCGCAGCTCCCTCAGGTTCTTGCACTCCTTGACCAGCACCTGCAGGTGAGGGAAAAACAACTGATCAATGCCTGGCAACTTACCATCACACGGCAGAAGGTCACGAGTGCAGTGAAAGAAAGAGGGAAAAGACCGCAGACCTGAACGTCGTTTTCGCAGAAGGGCGTGTCGCAGAGGTTGATGTCGCGGATGGAGGGGCAATACTGGCCGATACTCTGCAGCCTAAAGGAGTCCATGAGCATTCCCTCGCCAAGCTCCGCTCCGCTGTGTATCAAATGCAACACCTGGCCATATATCATTCGCGTGAGACAGGCTGTTGTGTGTCGTGGGTCGTGTCGTGGGTAGTGTCGTGGGTAGTGTGCTGCACCTCGAGGGCGGGCGTATTTTTGAGAAAAGCCCAGAGAGCATCAGAGGTCATGTCGAACCACCCAAAGGCACGCAGAGCACGAAAGTTGGCCAGCGGTTTCTTGCCCCAGTCCCTCTCGCCCAGGCTGTGCAACGAACAGCACACGTCAATCAGGTCATGTGCGGAGATCCGAGCAGAAGCTCTTCGAAGAGCTGGCTTTCTCATACCTGAAATAACCACATTCGAGTGACTGCAGGTTCTCGCAGGCGGTAAGATATCTCACCGCCGGCTGCGTCAGTATCGTCGATTTGGTTGTTGTGCCTGCGCAGCGTGCGATCTTTCGTTAGCCGGGCGGCTTGTAATGACGCGGCCACGGCGGTTAAAGAGGAAAGGGACACGTGGGTACCGAAGCGCAGCTTCTGGAGACTCTTGCACCTTTCGGCGAGGCACTTGAATGTGGAGTCTGTGAACTGCGAGAAGCTCTTGAATACCCTGCAATGCCCCCCACAAGCGTTAGTGCCCCTGGGATAGAAGACGATGGATCCAGACGGCCAGAGCGGTTTCTATTGGTACCTGAGCTGAGGGAGGTAGGTGATGATGGGCTCGATGACCTCGTCGGGATGCTCCAGAATGCCGGGCAACACGAGCGTGTGGAGGCTCGGGCACAGTTTGCCGATCATCAGCAGAGCACGGGAGCTGAACTGCCTCTCCAGGTCCTCCAGATGCAGCTCTCGCAGGTTAGAACACCTGGTGGTCACCGCAGAGAGGGATTACTGTAAGTCATTGGCTTTTTCAAGCTTACGTGTGTTTTCTCTCAAAACCGCAGCGGGGGGGGGTGAGGTGCACCTTCCAAGCGCAGCGGTGAGACCGACATCGCTAACCTGCGTGCAGCCCTTGAGCGAGAGCACCTCCAGCCCCGGGTTGAGAGCTGCAATCCACACCACCAGTCTATCGCTCGCTATTTTCTCGTACTGCCACACGCGAAGAAGGGCCACGTGAGCGAGAGAAACGGGGCCAGAGAGAGACAGAGAGATCAACACAAGTTTTGGGAGGCGCAGCTCTCACCTCTCCGAGATAGACCTGCCGCCAGAGTTCCTCCGAGGTGGAGAGTCGGTGCCACTTCTTGTTGACCGTGGAGCACCGCGTGAGGCCGGGGAAGTGGGGCAGGTAGGACAGGATCTTCACCACCAGCTCCTCCGGCAGCGTCGAGATCGACGCCGTCCGCTTGTGGAAGTTGGGGATGGGAAGCGCCGAGCCGCCAGCTACCGCCACGGTGGCCGCCTTGACCACTGGTGGCGGCGTCGTTCTACACCCAGAGGTGCACGCGGGAAGAGGGGTATAAGCAAGAAGGCCAACACGGTACGGCACGAAAGGGGCGCAAGGAGGAACAGAGAAGAGGAAGAGAGAGAGAGAGAGATGAAGGGGAGGAAGGTGCGAACGATTTCTTGCGAGGGCTGGTGTCGCCTGCCCCTGTGGTCGAGCTGCAAAGCGATTTGGTGAGGGGGATCAGCAACGAGCCCGTAGAGCCGTTGCTTGAGGAGGAGGAAGAAGTAGAAGAGGTAGAGCTGCCAGCTATGGTGGAATGTGAAGTCTTGTGATTGAGGAGGGCCACCATCGCGCTGTCTAGCTTCGGTTTCTTCTTTTTCTTGTCCTTGCTGCTCTCCTTCTTGGGTCTGGTGGGGATAGTTGTTCGTAGCGCGGCCGCGCTGGACGAGGCCGAACTCGATGTGCCACACATTTCGCTTCGGCCCCGCTCCCCCACAATCGACCCTACGCTTGACGACGACGCCGATGAAGATGACGAAGACGAGGCAGTGCCTGGATTACCCGTGTGTGGCTGGTGGCGCGTCTTGTCCCTCGCATGGTTCTCTTCGTGCAGCTTATCCATCCTTATGAATTCGTCGGTTTTCCAGAAGAGAAATTGAAATTAAATTGGGCAGTAATGATTGAGAGCGATATGGATCCCCTCCTCGCGCGCGGTGTGTCGGCTCTGCTTTCTGGTTCCACCAACTCTTCTGAACTGACCAGCTCTGTCGGCTGACGGCTTCAGGCCGCGAGAGGACGGGTGGGGGAGGAACGAAATCCAAACAACCAAAAAATAATTCTCAAAACACGGAGTCCCGCAAATATCACGCAAGGGGCAACCGCCCCCTTAAATAAATACACGCACAACGCGTGGAGGCGTTCACTTCAGGAAGCGGCGGATGGCGGTCCGTTCGACCTGGGTGAGATCGGGGTGCCACACCTGCCATGTGCCACCCGCACACCCGCACGAACAACTGGATCAGACGCCAGAACGCGGCCACGCGGGCATTGCCGACGTACGTCAATCAGGAGCACCACCCGGTCGCGGTCTCCTCGATGAGCCACCTCGTGATCAAACGAGTCGTCGAACACGATACACTGACCACCCGCAAGAGGCACAAAAAAGCCGGCCATCACGTTGGTAAGTATTGAACCGCGCGCCGGGTGAAGAAAGAAAAGAGAGACGCTGGCGTACTTTGCCCTGCTCCCAGCCTCGTGTTTCCTCTGCGACGCGGATGGTGCAATTGGGCGGTGTCTCGAGCCCGAGGTGACATCGTAGCTTGACGTTGGCCGGCCCACAGTGTGTGTTGATGTGCGTGCCAGGTTTGAGTACGCTAAAATACGCGTAACAGAGGCCGCTGCGCACACGCCAAGTGTGTTGTTTGAGAATGTCTTACGAAAGAAGAAGAAGAAGACCAAGAGAAGACAAAGCAAAAACGCTGAGCTGCAGTTCATACATAGACCATATACCTTCCGCTCATAAAACTGGGGATGCTCTCCAAGAGCCTTGTAGTCACAGGGGCCAGTGAGCAGTTGTGCTCTTGCTTGACGCCCTGCGCCCCTGGAAACATCATGATAGCAAAACCAAGCGGGGGAGTGAGTGTCGACACCACACGAGGGTGAAAGAGGATCGTGTGGTAGGGCAGAAAGAGAGGCAAGTACAAAGGTTGAATGCCGTCCACTTGCCGCCGCTCACCGACGAATGGATCTCTTCGTAGCCAGCCGGCTCGTCCTTCACCTGCAGATACTCAGCGTAGATGGCCTCCCAGTTGTCCTCCAGCAGCTGCACAAAGTCGTAGTCACTGTGGCCACGCACGCGCGAACCAACAGCGGACGTTCTTGTCAGAGTTCTCTAAAGAGAGGGCTGCTTGGGACCTCGAGCAGGTGTGGACCGGGGGGGGGGCTACACACCTGGGTTGGTGCCAAGGGACGGCCGAGAGGGATGGGTAGTAAAGCAGGGTGGGGCGCTGACGTGGGGTGGCTGCGGTGAGTGGTCGGAAGCCCGACAGGACCGCCTCCACGGCTTCTCGCAGACGTGGCGGGCCTGCTGCCAGAAGCGCCTCCAGCTCCTCCATAGTGGGCTCATCAGCCCTCTCCTGCTCGGGGGGCTCCATCTGCTGGTGCGTCCTCCAAAAGTTGATTGGCAAGTACAAGTGCTCTCCCAAATCTTCGAATTGACTTCTTTTACGCCGCGAGCTAAACTTTGCCGATAAAAAGGACTCCCCGGGCAGGGTTCGAACCTGCGACCTCACGGTTAACAGCCGTGCGCTCTACCAACTAAGCTACCGAGGATGAGTTGTTATGTGAAATGAGCAGATGGTGCCAATATACCCGTACTTCCTGAGATAGAGGGTAAAATGAAGTGCAGAAGGGGCCATTTTACACGTTTTAGAGGAGCAAGCAGGCTCTGTGCTAGAAAGCTTGGGGTTGAGGAAAGTTGCCGGTTGTTGGAATGGTTGAGAGGTTTTGTATTGAAAGTTGTGACATCAAATATTGACGATAGGCGGGTGAGGAGGGTGAGGGAGACGGCGTGTTGATCGAGTGATTAAATGTGCCTGAGCTCGGTGCCAATGCGGACCTCGTCGAGGAAGCCCTGACGATCCCAGGTCTTGAGCTGCGTGTCCCTATCGATGGTGGGCTTGGACTTGTCCTCGGTGGCGACGTGCTTGAGCTGGGCGCCCTCGCGCACCTCGTTGAGCAGGCGAGCCTTCTCGAAGCGGTGCACGATGGCCGTCTTGTCGAAGAACATCTCGGGCTTGGACTTGTCCTCGGTGTCGACGTGCTTGAGGCGGTGGTCGGCCTGAATGTCCTTCAGCAGGCTGTCCCTCTTCTCGCACGCGGCGGCCAGGTGGTGGAAGAGCTCGAGGCGCGGCGCCGAGCGGTCGCTGCGCTGGTCGTCATTCACCTTGTTGAGGCGCTGGACGTCGCTGCGCTTGATATCGGCCCAGAGGTTGTCCAGGAAGTCGGTCCTGCGCAGGGTGAAGTCCTTCTTCTTCTCGAGCGGGATGGAGCGCATGAGGCCCTTCTCCTGGGTCTCGACCACCACCAGGGGCTTCATGGTCTTCCTGCCGCGGATCTCGCCCAGGAGGGCCTGCTTGTTCCACTGCTTGAGCTTGAAGCCCTCGCCGCCCTTGAACAGATCGCGCACGTCGCGCTGGTCGTCCTTGAGGTCGACCTTCTTCATGTGCGAGCGGTAGCGCTCGAAGCCGCCCGTGCGCTCGAGCTCGGCCATGAGCGCCTCGCGCTGGATGAAGGTCTCGATGATGGCCTCGCTCCTCTTCTCGCTGTAGCCCTTGGCGGCCTTGTTGTGCTTGTGGCCGCTGGCGATTGCAGCGTCGTGCTGGGCCAGGACCGACTCGCCCTTGGAGCGCTGCTTGTGGCCGCGCTGCTCCAGACGGTCGATGCCGAACAGGTGGCCGACGCGCTCCTTGACCTGGCCCATGAGCTTGTCTTTGTAGCCGCCCAGCGCGGAGCCCTCCTCGTTGATCTTGTCCCGGGTGTCCTCGAACTTGTCCTTGGCCTCGTCCATGGTCTTCTTGGCCCCTTCGACGAGCTGCTCCTTCATCTCGTTCATCTTATTCTCCTTCTTGTTGGCGTCCATGCTGTTGTTGGCGGTGGTGGGGGTTGGTGGGGTTGAGTGTTGTAGTTGTGGCTTGTTGGCTTGTTGTTGATATGTTCAACATCGACTGTTGTGTGGGCTTATAAAGAGGAGGTCTCCCATTCGGAGTGGGTGGAAGGTGGCCACCAAGCCAAGCTAGATTTCATTTCTTTTGGGCGTGCTTCGCCTCACCTCTCCCCGAGCCAGCCACGATGTCGTGAGGCATGATGTGCTCCAACTCGCAGCGGCACACAACCCCGCGCCTAGGCGCATCCCCGCAAATAAGTGATCAATTCGGCCGAAATTCTCCACGCCCCGAATCCCCGACAGAACGCAGAAGAAATTGGTGAGAAAACATTGAAAGAAAAACAAAAGAATTTATGGCATGTGTACAGGGTTTGTGCGCGGCACACGAAAAGCGACTCACGCGTTGATGAAGTTCTCCTTATCGTCGTCCGTCGTGGTGGCGGCTCGTCGCTTGAGGATGCTCTTGGGTTGCGTGGTCGTCGCGGGAATTCGGGCGCAGCTGGTGGATCGGTTGTTGCTCTCCTTCATCCTCCTCGCCTTCTCCTTGAGCGCCTGCATCCGCTCGAGGCCGGACTTGGGCGCAGCGTCGACGGGCGCCGCCACAGAAGACGACACTGTCTGCGAGGTGATGGTGGTGGCACCGGCGAGCGGCGACTCAGCTTCGTCGCTGTCCTCTTCTTCGGCCTTCTCCTCGCGCAGCTCTGCGAAAGCCGGGCGCTGCTTCTTGGGTGAGGTGGCGCGCTGGCCGCCGGCTCCGAGCGCGACGAAGGTCTGCGTGGGCTCGGGCGGGAAAAGCGAAGGGTCCGGGGCGGAGTAGCGGGAACCGCAGTTGGTGCAGCCCTTGTGCTTGATGATGGCCAGCTCCTGCTGGTCCCGCTCGAGCGTGTCGATCGCGCTCTTGGTGCTGGCGACCAGATCGCTGTACTGCTTGATCTCCTTGTCCTTCTTCTTCAACTGCCTCTCCAAATGACGAGTCTCCTGTGGAGTGCGTGCGGCGTGGTCAGAGTGAGCATCGCGATTACACAAGGAAATATGAATCATGGCGCGGGTTCTCGTACCTTGAGGTTGAAGGCCTTGTCTTCCTTGCTCTTCGCGTGTGCGGCGGTCAGCTCCTTGGCGAGCCTGTCCCTTTCCTCGGCAGCCATATGGAGCTCCTGCTTCGCCTGCGTCAGGGCCTCACGCAGCTGAGCCTCCGTGCCCTGCAACTGCGCGTGCGCTTCCTCCAGCTGCGTTTTAGTGGCGTGGGCAGTCGCCAACTCCTCGATTAAGGCGCTCCTCTCCTCGGCCGCGATCTGGCGCTCTTCCGTCGCCTTGGCCATGCTCTCGTGTAGCCGAGCCTCGCTCGCCTTCAACTGCGCCTGCAGTTCGCTCCGCTGAGCACTGTTGTCGGCGTGGGTGGTCGCCAGCTCGTCGATTAGTGCGTCCCTCTCTTCGGAGGCGAGAAGGAGCTCCTCCTTGGTCTTGGCCAATTCCTCGGTCAGCTGAGCCTGGCTGCTCTCCAACTGCGGTAGCACCTCGCACACTTCGGCCAAGTTGCTCTTGTACATCGCGACGTCGCTGTGGGCGGTCGCCAGCTCGCCGGTCAGGCCGTTCCGCTCCGCAGTGATCTTGTGAAGCTCCTCCTTCGTCTCGGACATCAGAGCCTCGAGGGTCTCCAATTGCGCCTGCATCTCGCACAGCTCCGCCTCTTTGCTCTTGTTGCCCGCAGCAAGAGCATCGATCTCAAGCACCATTTGTTCCCTGTGTGTATAGGGCAAGTGTGAGAAGTATGCAGGACGCGTGCGATTGTTTCAAGAAGTGAGTGTTCTCCTACCTGAGCTGTTGCAATTCTTCCTGTTCGCCCAACAGGCAGGCCTTGTCGTTCTCTAGTCGAGAGATGCAGTCAACGCGATCCCTGAGCTCAGTTGTGAGCCTGGGTGAGAGAAGAAGAAATCATTGTTCGTTAGCGCCTCCTATCGTCGTCCACCCAAGACGTGCTGAAGATAATAAGGGCTTAGACGGCACGTACTGTTCGAGCTGGAGGCAGTAGCCTGATTCCTTCGAACCCCACTCAGTCTTCATCTGCTCGAAGCTGAAGAAGGTCTCCGTAAGCTGCTCATCCACTGCCGCCTTTTCCTTCCTTGAGGTAGCGAGCTGCTCCTCGAGGCCGGCCTTCTCCTTCATCAGGTCCTGCATGTTGGAAAAGATAAGCGCGTGCCTATCGTGAGCCGCCGCACACAACACACACGCATGACCTAACACGCCGCACAGCGCCACATGATGCCAAGGGGAGGAAGAGCGTACAGCAAGCCTCTGCTCCAAGTCCTTCTTTTCCTTCTGGAGCAGGTCATATCGCTCGTCGCCCAGTGCCTTCTCACGCCTCACGCCCTCGAGCTGCTGTTCGGTGAGCGACAGGCGGTGGTTAAGGCCCACCAGCTGCTGCTGTAGCGAGTTCTTCTGCCTGTCTACGGTCATACGGGCAACAATGACTCGTGTGAGCAAATGGCGGCAAGGGGGGAGAAGAGGAGGAAAGTCCGGTACCACTCGCCTGCAGCTGTGCCTGCAGGTTGTTGAGGTCCATGGTCATCGCTTGCACCTTCCGATCGAACAGCACGAGGTCGTTGGTCTGGGCCGCGATTTTCTCCTGCATGGCGTTTCCTTGCGTTTGCAGATGTTCCTTCTCCTTGAGCGTCGCCGCAAGGTGTGTTTCCTGGTCACGACACAGCGCAGGTGAGCTTTACCGCAAACAATATCGGCAAGCCTGTGTCTCTCAACAGCCTCCTCTTGTACCTTGATCGAAAGAGACTCAGACTTGGTTTGCAGCGTGGTTTTCAGCTTCTCGATGGTCGACACCAGCTCCGTGACGTCGTCGCTCAGCTTCTTGATGGTGGCTTGGAGCCGAGCGATTTCCTCCTCGCGATCGCAGTTCTTGCGCTCCAGCTCGCCATTCAGTCCGTTGAGAGACATGAAGTCGGCGCTCAGCTTGTTCAGGGTGTCCTCCTTCAGCTTCAGCGTTGACTGAGCTTCGGCGAGCTGAGCCTAAGAGTAGTGGTAGTTGTTGTGGTGTGGAATTAATCCTAGGTCAGCGAGCAACAGCGACAAGCGCTGGAGCAGTTGTTTTCCGTACCTGCAGTTTCTCGTGCGTCTTCGTGAGCGCGGCCAGTTGCTTTTCGACTTGAAGTCGCTGATCCCTCTCCTCCTTGATTTTGTTCTCCTTGGATTTCATCTTCTCCATCTGCTTTTCGAGCCCTGTGTTCTGGCTCATCAGACGCTTGAGCTCCCTCTCCAGGGTTACCTTCTCGCCCTGCAGCACCGATCTCTCCTTGACCGCTTGCTTGAACTTGGTGTCGAGGTTGCCCATGTCCTTCAACGCCTTTTCCTTCTCCTTCCTGAAAAGGACCACACAAGATCACATTAGCGCTCATTGTGGCGTGGCATTATGTGCGCCGTGGGGTAGTGCGCAATGACGCCAAAAGGGAGTCACTGACTGCTAAATGCCGCACGTACCGAAGGCCGTCGTTCTCCTGCTGGAGCTGATTCTTCTTGACCGTAGTGCTCTTGAGATCTTCCTTGATCTTGGCCTCCTGGAACGCGGCCGGAGCAATCGAGAAGCGCCGGCTATTGGCGGAAGCGCCAGAGAAGCTTGAGTCGTTGAAGCCCTTTTGGTTGCGCAAGATCTCGCCTTCAGCCTAATAATATGTTGGTGAGAGGTAACTTCAGTTTAACTTTCACAACTCGGAGGAACTGATGACTGATGGATTGAGTGAAACCGTACGCGAGCGATTTGCAAATTCCTCTGGGCATTTTCCTTCTCGGTGAGCGCCTCCTTGAGCATTGCTTTGAGATGGTCGTTGTCCTCCTTAGCGTGAGTCAGGTCGCCCTGCAGCCTCTCAAGGTCCTGGTGGCGGCGAGAGGCTTACGTGTGAGCCCAGTCAAAAGAGGGGACGAGCGGCACAATACCGCCCCACAATACCTGCTCAATGATCGCCAGTGAGCTCCTCTGAGCGGCAGCCTGCGCGGCCTCTTCCTGGTGCTCTCTCTCCTGCTCCTCCCGCTCCTTCTCGAGAGTGCTCAGCTTGATCTCGAGCTGATCTATCTTCTTGTTGTAGGAGGTGTGCAGCTTGGTTTGCGAGACCGAGTGCTCTTCCCTAAGCTGTAAGACACACGCGACGCGCATAACGACGGTGATGAGTTGAAATGACGAAGCGGTCAACGAAGGGGTTTAGAGCGGGTGCCGTACCACAGTGAGGGTATCCTGAAGTCGCTGCTTCTCCTGCTGAAGCTGGGCATTTTCCTCTTCGAGTTCCGTGAGCCTCGTCTGGGCGAGGTTGTTCTGCTCGCCGAGGGAAGCGGCCTCCTCCCGGTAGCGCAGCCCTTGCTCTTGATGCTCCTGCGCGGCCTTTTGGCTCGCTTCGTATTGCGCGGTCAGCTCCTGCAGCTGCTGGGCCTGTTCCTGGACCTGCTTCTGCAGGGTCGCGTTCTCCGTGCCCAGCGTCTGTTCCAGGTGGAGGGCTTGCTCCTGAAACTGGCGAGACGTCGACTCGCTGATCTCGTACTGGGACGACAACTCCTCGATTTGCTTCCCCATGTTCACGACATCTTCGGTCAAGAGTTCGTTCATGTCCCCCTGTTTGTTGGCCCAGCAAACATCATTAGTCCAAACTGCCTTTTTCAAGTCAGAATACGTTTGCTAGGGGTGCGCAATGGTAAGGCACCTGTTCTTCCAGCTTCTGCCTGGTGTCGTCAAGCTCGAGTTGAAGCTGGTGAATGAAGGCCGCGGCCTGGGCCATTGCGTCCACCTCAGGAGCCGATTTATCTCCTACTTGGCCTGCGGTGGTACGAGCGCGTCAGGGAATAGCTAGCGTGGCGGAGCGGCGGGTGAACGTACTAAGGGCATTGGCTATCTGCTGTCTGGCCTTTTCCTTTTCGTCCTGCAGTTCGCTCTCGAGCCGCAGATTGGCGTCCTGAAGCTGTGCGGTGTGCCAGCGAAGGAGACAGAGCGAACGGAAAACGGGCATTAGCACAACGACACCAAGGCCAAGCAATCTAAAGAGGTGTGACTCACCTGCTGTAGTTGCTGCCTGGCCACCTGTAGCTCCTCCTTGAGTTTCTTGGCTTCTTGGTTGTCGACAGAAGCAGGAGGCGCGCTTGCGACCGGAGCTGCCGGCGGCTGTTGCACGCGAGCCCTTGCGACGGGGAACGGGACAGCAAACTCGGCGCGAGCACGAGGAATGAAGTCGATGACGGGTGTTCCCTCGAGGTCTTCTTCCTCGCCCGCTCCAGCTGACGAGGGAATCGCGATAAACGGATTGTATGCTGTTCACAGCCGTGATGGGGGTTAAGAGCAGGCGTCAGTCGGGGGCGATTGATTGATGCGAAGAACGAATTGGTAGAGGGCGCGTACCATCACCCATTACCCGGTTGGGAGCCCACGTTTCTCGCCGGTTCGATTTGGCCTTCAGCTTGGCTGCCTGGATAGGAGGCGCCACGGTAGAGGAGGTGATGATCATGTTCGTCATACGTGCTAACTTCTCTCTCTGCTTCTCTTTCTCAATCTCCGCATCACGGAGCATCTGCATCATGATTTCCTTGTCCTCTTCTGCCTTGAGCTTTTGACTCTCCAGTTCTTGCCAGTTCTTGCCCTATTGTAGTCGAGTTCACCACGTACGATACACGCGGTACAAATATGCAAGCATGTCAGCAATACTCACCGCACCCCATTCGATGATCGCACTGAAGTTCTCATTTCATCACACATGAGAAACAACGAACCTTGGATTCAACGTTCTTCAGCTCCTTCTTGAGCTTTGATATCTGCTGGCGGTATCGCTTAAGCATGGATGCCTGGTCCATGACCTGCCATCACGACACCATCAGTGTGTTTGTCATCCTCTTGTTTAAACGGTGCCACACAACCACGCCAAGAACGTTTTTGTTTGTGTCCTCGCGTACCTCGTTCACGATGGGCTTGTTTTTGATTTGCTTGGCGCGGTTGGCAAACTTGAGTGTGCTGATCGATTCATCGCGAAAGGCGGGTGCGATGGTACAGATAACTGCTGTCCGCGAGTTGCCTCCGAGGGCGGGCTCCAAGATTCTGGTGAGCTTACTGTTGCGGTATGGCACATGACCCCTGCGCGAGAAGTCAAGAAGAAGATGAAGGAAGGAACCGGTCAGCTCCTGTGGGCGATAGGCTCGTCGGAGGATTTTTCTTCAAATACAAGGCACCAGGGTGTACCGTTCTCCCTCGGCGAGCTTGGAGATGACGGTGCCAAGGTTGGATAGACTTTGGTTGATCTTACAGCCTTCAACCATGCGAACGCCAGTCGCAAGCGTGTGCGACAAACGCTCTGAGCCTGCCAGATCAACCAAGTTCTGAAAAAACGGATGTGAAACGCACGCAAAGGTTGTCAGCTGACCCAGAAGCATCAACCCGGAAGCGGACTAAATGGGCTGTGGAGCGAAGCACGTACCAACATGGAGACCTTTACGGCGCCGTCGAGGGATTTCTTTGTGCCTTGACCGTCCTTAGACTTCTCTCGACTTTCAATCACCTAGATGATCGTTTCAGTGGGCTCACCTGTTGTAAGCCTCCTCTTCGAATTGGTGGCAGCAAACGTTTCGGTTGAAGCGCGCGCGTACGAATTCGTACCATTTTGAAGATGGTGTGCGAGCGACTGCTGTGGCTGTTGGCGCCGGTTGCTCCAACGTGGCGATGCTCCTCGCCAGAAGCCATCAGCTGAAGCGCTTGCTGGGGAGTCACCACGATCTCTTCTTTGGCATCCTTGACAAACACTCCACGCTGCCCGCATGCAACACCACGCGTTAATGGGATGGCGCCATCAGCAGTGACGCGCACTATGTGACGCACGCCCACCGTTTACACACAGCAGATCCAAGCACGAAGGGGAGGAGCCTGGTTACCTCGATGTCCTCTCGAATCTCGAGCTTGGTGCTGCTCGGGCAGAGAAGGTCACGAATCTCTTCGTTGTAGATTTCGAGGTAGGATACACGCAGCAAAAATTCTCGTTCCGGTGTCTGCGTGTGAGAAGACGCAGCACACAGGAGTTGAGTTGCCCACATCTTATATCTTAATTATTTGCTGAAGAGAGGCTGCAATCATACCTGCTGGATGAAACTGAAAATCTCGGAGATGGCCAGTGGAATAATGCCAGGCGAGTCGATTCCGCCCTTCATGGTGTGCGTCTTTCCGGAAGACGTTTGCCCGTAGGCAAAGATGGTGCCATTTACGCCTTGAAGGGCAGAGTCGATGATGTATTTGGCCAACGAGTTGTAGATGTCGATCGTCTGCGAATTGTTGCCGAAAACGTAGTCTGCATTTTGTGGGCACCACACACACAAAAAGAAGATCATAAGCCCGGGAGGAAAAGGGAGTAGCTTGGTTGCTCTGCTGACACGCACCGAAGGTGTAGGAATTGGTCGGCTGACCATCCCTCACCAGCGTTATGCTGCTGTCATCATATCGCCACACCGATGCTGGATCTTCCACTTCCCGTTCCTGTTTGCAAAATGGGCCACCTCTCTCAGTTTTCCTCTTCGGCAGCAAAATGATACTTAATCACCTTCTAATCAATCAATTGGCAACAATTGGCACAACATTTTGTCGAGCAGTTGGAAAAGGTGGGACGCGTACATTGATTGGCCGAACGCGAATGCCGACGCGAATGTTATCCATACTCATTTTGTCTTCGAGAGAAGGGGATAGGCTTCCAAAGCGCAATCACTGTTCCTCCTCCTCCTCCTTCCGCACGCGAGATGACAAGCAAAGATGGTTTCGGCACACAAACGCCACCCCAGAGCGTTGCTCTTGTTTTCGCGCGCTTTTTGCTTTGGCGCCACCGGACACACCTCTGAGAGCAAAAATGAAAACGACGTTTCTCTTGTTTTCTCCTGGGGCCGGTGGCCAAAGCAAAAACTCTTTTATTCTTCTATTTTATTATTTTGTGATTGTTGATCGATGGAACCAACACAACAGCATGCCCAGGTCCCTGCGCCCCTAACAACCTCCGCCTCTACGTCGAATGGTGGCGCAGACCAGATTGCTGCAGCACAAAATCACCACCCTCCCAATGGAACGGCGGACGGCGGGGTGGGGCGGGTGGAAAACCTTCTCGAGGGTGCAGTGGAAACTCTGCGGCAGTTATCCATCATCGTGGAGGACTACCACGAGCACCAACCTCCGACCTTTCTCTTCGACAAGATGTGCGTCACTTACCACACGTGTTTTGCCCTTCCTTTGTGCTCTTTTTCCCCTTCTGCTGTAACCCGACCGGTGGGGTCTGGTGGTCATGTGCCGACGTCGCCACCACAGTAATGGATTCGTGGAGGAGCTTGCGCAGCTGGACCGAGCCCGACACGAGCACGCTAACGTCGACCTGCCGATGCAGATATTCCAGTTAACCTCCCTCCTCTCTTTCCTCTCCGCCCACCTTCTATCTCACCTTAAGGCCCTGGTGTTCAGATTCATCGACGAAGGCAAGAATCCGGATTTGTACGTACAAGAGTCGCTCTTGGAGCGGTGTCTGGAACGAAATGAGCGAACGCGAGGCAAGTTGCACCTGCTGCAGGTCTGCCCCCACGCCCTCTCTCCTCGTTGTTGCGCGCACGCGCTGAGCTTTCGCTCTCTTCGGGGTCTTGATCACTTACCTCCATGACGCGACGTACATGTATCTCGTACTAGCGACTGAAAGACGAGCTTGCCCTGGGAGCCGCTCAGCTGCCGGGAGACGATATGGAGGCCGATCCCACAACCGAACACGCTACGTGAGGCGGTGTTTGCTTTTTTGAATAATTGTTTTGCTTCAAAAAGCTTGCAATGTCTGGTATTTGAAGCACATTTACGTAAAATGCTTGTTCGGGCCTTTCGGCGATTGGATGTTTTTAAGCGGACTTCTTGCACGAGCAGCCGCTTCAACTCACAGCCAAGGTACGGGTCACTCATCTTTGCCCATACACACGCCTTCACACAGCTCACTATGCGTCTGTTTCTTGGCGCGGTTTTGATAGGCGTAGTTCTGCTTGCCTGCACTGTCGGAGAGTGCACAGGGTCATCGCTCGAGGAGTTCTACCGCGTGCGCGCCAAGAATCAGCTGCGCGAGGTCGCCCGCCATCCGCGTGCCGCAAGCGCCGCTCCCCCGTCATGCCCTCACCATCCACCGCCCATTCCCCAAGCCTTCATAAGCTCACACGTACGTCACTTCCTGTTGTACCGATGACGTCATGAACCAACTACATCACCTGACTCATAAACTCCCGTGTCGTACGGCGCGTCACAGTTCCTACCGGAGCGTCTACGCGAGGCCACAAAGATGATGGATGCCTCCATTCAAGAGTACATGCGTGCCGAGTCGATCACGGTGGCTTCAGTGGGCCTCGTCTATGACCAAGAGCTCGTCTGGGAGAAGGGCTATGGTCTCACTGACCCCTCCAGCCCGTCGTCGTACGTCCACTCGCGCCTTAAAACCGAAAAGGGGGCGGTTACTCACACAACTCACCTTACGTGGACAGGCACGTGAACTCAGACACAATCCTGCGCATTGGTTCCATCACCAAACTGATTACGACCATCATGCTCTTCCAACTCCGGGATCGGGGCATGCTCTCACTTGACGACCCCGTCAGCGTACGCACCGTCCCTTCGCTTGTTCTCCTGCTCTCACCTCACTCGTGGCCTGTTTTTGAATTCAGAAACACGTGCCCGAGTTGGTCTGGCCAACGCCTTTTGGCAACAACCCGGGCATCACGTGGCGCACTCTTGCCGGGCAAGTCAGGTACCGCCTATACCAAGCGCCAATGCCTTTTCTGTCCAGTTGATGATGATGCTGATGCTGATGCTGGAGTACATTTCATGGTGGAGCAGCGGCTTGACTGGCGTGACGCCGTGCAACTTCTTCACCATTTGGGAGCCCATTCTGGGCGACGCCTGCGATATCAAGAACGCCGAGGCTTGGAAGCGGGTCACGGCCGAGCCGGTAGCTTGCCATTCCCCTAAACCCTAAACTTCAAAGGAGCACAACCTCCTTCACTCATCGCTTGCACCCACACAGCCGACAGTGCCAATGTGGCAGGACCCACACTACGCTGATGGCGCCTATGCTATCATTGGTCGTGCGCTCGAATCGGTTGTCGGTATGACGTGGGAGGACTATCTCACCCAACACATTTTCAAGCCTCTGGGTACGGTCATCCTTCCCCTGCTGAGGGGCATTCCTCACACGTGGAAGAAACCCAGGGATGGACAGCACATTTGTTGCCTATGATGGGTGGTCAGACATGGCGAAGAGGGTAGCGCCAGGCATGATCGGCAACACTAGCCTTCCGTATCTGCTCTCACAAATGGACCTGAGATGGGCTCGCCCAACCGGAAACGTATACGATCACACACACGACACTCACGACACTCACACGAACTTGATTACGTGAAGCTGCGATGTTGTGCATAACCATGCGTGGAGGTGGGTTGCCGCATGCAGGTGTACTCAACGGTGAAGGATCTGGCCAAGCTGGCCTCTGTCTTCCTCGTGGGGCAGGACGAGCGCAAGAACGCGCTGGGGCTCTACTCGAGCACTCTGCGCGAGATGATGACCCCATCCTTTGTGAACGATGATCAGGTTGACATCGCCCGCTCCCCCTACGCCCCTCTTGCCGTCCGCTAGCACTCACACTTTCCACAGTCCTCGGGCTACGCCTACCCATTCGAGGTCCACCACAGCAGTTACCTCGGACCAGATCTTCCAGCCTACTGGATTCGCCTCAAGGGCGGCGTCGTGCCAGGCTACTTCAGCACCATCGCGCTGGTGCCAGAGATCAAGACAGGTACGTGCTTGACTTGTTTTCATGCGACGCATTTGGAACTTTTCTTTTCTATATGTCCCTGACGCTGTGGCTCGCCTCAAGCTATGATCCTTCAGAGCACCGGTTCCCCCTTGTCCACGGCAGTGCTGGCGGTGCTGCTTCCAGCCATGGAGCAGACCCTGTGGGAGCTTCAGCCACTCCCAAACAACCCGGGCAATCTCACGGCTTTTTCCGGGACCTACCTGGCTTCCCTCTATGGCGGGTACACACCGCTCCCACCTCACCTCTCCCGTCACACATGTACGCTCACAGGTCGGGCAACAACAGATTGATGCAGGGCAACGTCACCGTGCAGGCTGACCTGGACAAAAACACACTGAACATGAACTTTGCCATCACTGGTACATCACTGCCTCCTGTGCCTAGCGTGGACATGGAGTTTCTGTTGGCTAAGCTCCTGCTGGTGCTGGCAGGCCTGGGGAGTGTGCAGCCCATGGGCCACTCCACGGCTGTCTGGGAGGAGAGCAACTCGTTCCGCATTTTGGGTCCCTCATCCGGCGGGTGTCTGGACGTTGAAGCAGGGCGCACCAACGCCCTGGTGCACTTCAAGGTGAGTGAGCCTTCCACGTGGAATGGCTTCTCCCGTGTACTCTCTGTCGCGGTGCCTGTTGATCCCTTCTATGGCTGGGACTTTGTAAACAGTAAGAATTCTATTCAAATGGTCTCTTCAACTTGGTGTATGACGGGGAAGAAGGTGAAGAAGACAATCATGTTGTTAACTGTGACTGGCCACACAACACATGTTCCTACACTGGCTGACAAGGTGCAGCTTACTCGGGCAGGTGGTATTGCGGGTCTAAATTGAACTCCGAGAGCAAGTCGTCGAAAGTCATGAACTCACTTCCTATGTTGATGCTCCTCTTCTCCGAAGGCTGCGCTGTAGACTGGTCGCCGTTGTTGCGCTGATGGTAGTAGTTACGGGAGGACGCAGATGGCGGCTCCTCCGCGATGGTGCGGGTCCGTGGCTGCGCCACTTCAGCCCATTCTGCTTCCTGTTCCAACCGCACATCTGTTCACAAATGCAATGGACAAAGATGCAGACGACCATGAGTCTTTCCTTGACAGGAAAACGACGGAGGTGTGGCCACGATCACGAGTACCTTGAAGAGATCGAGTCCGATCCTCTGCGAGGATGCGATCTATGCGCAACACCCCGTAGGTGCGCTGCTGGACGGTGAAGATTTGGTACCGGGCCGCCAACTGGAGCATGAAGCCGCCACTGTGCTCCATGAGCCCACAAAAGTGGCCGACACTCAAGAATCCCATCTCCGCACTGATCAGCCCAACATGCGGTGCGTCGGTTAGCACCCCAGCTAGAGGATAATCCGTGTGGTCCAGCGCACACAGATGGTATGATATGTTAGCTATATACCTCCAGGACCTGAACGCCTGCCTTATCCTGAGCTTGTTTTGCTTTGGCAGCGCCACCACGATGTCCCTGGCCAACAGCTCCCTCTGCCACACACGTGTAAACCTTTTACGGACCCATAAAGGGTTCAGGATGCATGGCACCATAAGGTGTGCCTACCATGGAAAAGCCGGACACCCTACTGAACTGAGGGTTGATGAAGAATGGGCTCGTCTTCCAATTCAATTTGTGATCTGACACGAACACCGCTATCGGTGGCCTGTCCATGCCACGGACCAGTGGTGAGGCGAGGGAGAAGTGGGCTAGCTGCGGCAGTCGGAAGTGGTGCGCGTGTGCGTACCGCAGGTCGTGAATGGCGAGCTTGCTCGGCGCCAGGTCAAAGTGTCTGAGGAAGGGCAGGTGCGAGAGCATCTCTTCCCACAAGCAAACTGCGTCGCCCCACTCCGCCTCGCCATGTGCTCCGAGCCCCACCAAACTCGTGCTCCCATCGCTCGACGAGGGGGCGCTGGGGCTCCCCAACCGAGAGAACACTGGAGGCGTGGCGGCATGGTGCACGGCCATGCGAGCGGCAAGCTCGCTTCGCAGCCGCGCTCTGTCCTCCTCCAGCTCTTGCACGCGCCGCGCCATCTCGTGCATGTGGCGCTCCATCTGCTGCAGCCGCAGCTTGTCCTTCTTCCTCGCCTTGCGCGTCTTCTCGGCCTTGATCCGTATCTCCGCCTTGAGCGCTCGCATCTCGTCGATAATGTACGCGACCACACCGTGTGTGGCCGGACTCGGAGCAGTGGGCACACCTGCATCCGGCGCTTGTGGAACAGGCGTGGTCGTTGTCGTTGTCGTGGTCGCCGGCGAGGTAGAGCCTTGCTGGCCTTGTTGAGGTCCTTGCAGCCCTTGGTGGCTGATCACGCCGCCGGCTCCCTGCCGACCCTGACCCGCCGATGGCGGTGTTGGTTGTATGGGGGCCGGCGGTTGACCTAGAGCACACGGTCATCACCGGACATCAGTCCGGCAGCCACCAAACCGTGGTTGGTCTCTAGGGGGGACTTACCTGTGGGGGCGGGGGTACGGCGGGGACGGCCTCGCTTGCTCGGAGGCGGGTGGAAGCAGCGGTCGGCCATGTTCAGCGCGACGCATCTCGTGCATGGTATCACCCTGCCCCCACATGACCGGGAAACAGGTTATCGTGTTTTGAGTGCTGGATGATTGATCGTTCCTTCAGCTGCTCGCGTGGATGTCGTACCCGTTGCAGTTGGCTCGGGAGAGGAGGCACAGCGCGCAGCTCATCGTCTTCGAGCTTCTTTTCTGGCTTTCAACTTCGACTTCTCGTTGCAAATTTCCATTTCGGAAACGCGTTTACGCAAACCGCCTCGCGCCGTTTTAGTACTGCTTGGCCAACTCTGGGCCGCAAGCACACACACGCTGCGGGCATCTGTAGAAGCTCATGTTGGAGGGACTGGTGGCAGGGATTCTGTCGAGCTACCTGGGTGTCTGGGTCGAGGGGCTCCAGCGCGAGAACCTCAAGATCGGCATCAAGCAGGGCAATGTCACCATCGAAAACCTCAAGCTCCGCAAAGAGGCCCTGCGCGACCTCCATCTTCCAATCGCCATCAAAGACGGTAACTTTTGTTGTTGTTTTCATTTATTAGTTTATTATTTTTTTTATTTATTGTTGATGTATGTGAGGATTTAACATTTAATCGCCAGGGTACTTGGCGAAGCTGCAGCTGATAATCCCGTGGTCCAACCTTAGCAGCAAGCCAGCCATCATCCGCATCGAGCAAGTCTTCCTCACTGCCGGCCCCATGCACCAGGACCACGTACTAGGCCTCTTGCATTCTCGACATCTATCTCTGTTACGGTGGCGGTGGCGGCGGCGGTGGCGGCGGTGGCGGCGGTGGCGGCGGTGGCGGCGGCGGCGTACATGGTGTAATAGAACAACGACAAGGATGGTTGTACTGATGTTGGCATTGTAGTACGATCAGCAGGAGGAGGAGCGCAAGGAGCAGGAAACCAAGCAGAAGCGCCTCGCACTGCGCGAGCTCTTCAACGTGAAGGACAAGAAAGGTCAGAGATCCTCATGAAGACGATTTGCACACGCTTGTCGCACTCTCACACGTGGCCCGCTCGCATTCGTGTCATGCAGATGAGTCAGACACATTTACTGCTCGGCTGGTGGCCAAGGTTGTTGCTAACCTGCAGCTCTTCATCGAGAAGATACACATCCGCTACGAGGACGACACTCAAAACCCAGAGGTAACGAGTTGTGTTCTTTATTCACTCACTCACTCACTCCCTCGCACTCGCTCACTCATGCATTTTCGCTGCTCTATATTTCTCTAGGCCCCTTTTGCCCTGGGCATTACGTTGGAGCGGCTGAGTGCCGAAACTACCGATGCGAGCTGGCGGCCAACGTTCATGAAGGAAAACCAGCCACTGGTGCACAAGGTTAGTTTCTCTTGATAATTATGCAAGCAGCTGCAACTGACGCCATTCGCTGTTCATGTTGTTGTTGGCGCAGCTGGTCTCCCTTTCCAACTTTGCTATTTATTGGGACTCCAACACCTTCGTGTTCGACCAGCACAAGGAACAGACCATGCACAAGGCCCTTGAAGAGATGGTGCGTCAGCATCCTGTGGTGTCTTACCTTCCGCCTCACACTGACGCTCTGGTAATCGCATTTACACATACACCAGATTCATGACGAGAGCAAGAAGGGAGTGCCTCGGCATGCCTACTTTCTCCGCCCCATATCCGGCACGCTAAAGGTAAGACAACACAGCTTTGCAGCTGCCCCCGTTTTGCTTGGTGGAGTACTCACATTTGCTACAAACTCATTTTCCATCAACCATGTGGTGTGCAGCTGATTATGAACAAGAGCACAGCCATCAAAGACATCCCCAAGTTCACCTTCAACTTCTTCTTTGAGAAAATCGCTCTCGAGCTGCAGGAAAACCAGTACCGCGAGATGCTGGGGTTTCTCGAGAGCTTCGGCCTCTATCAGCGGAGTCTGCGGCACCGAGCCTACCGTCCTTCCGAGCTTCCCACCAAGGACCCACGAGCCTGGTGGGCATTCGCCGGTACTCAACCCACACGCCCAGCCTCGCTCTAGCCCTTTCCCCGGCCAGAGAATTGATGTTGACTCTCTGGTTGTCTTCTCTCTTCTTCTTTCGCCAGCAAATGCGAGTCTGGCGAGCAAGCGAGAAGAGAGACGAAAATGGAATTTTGAAGTTATGAAGGAGGCCAACAGCGACCGCAAGCGATATGTGCGCCTGTACAAGCGCCATCTGGAGCTTGAGCAGAAGAAGCAACACGTACAACCCCCCCCCACACCCATTATGCCATGACGTCCGACCTCGTGCCAAGTCAATGGCTGACAACTCTCCATCTTCCATGGGCGCAGCTGACTCCTACAGATGCGGCAGCGCTGGTGACGCTGGAGAAGCGACTCGACTACGACCGGATCGTCCTCTTCCGCTCGCTGGCCGAGGCCTACCTAGAGAAGGAGAAGCAGTTCAAGGAACGCGAGAAGCAGAAACGCATCGAATCCGAAAAGGCGACCGGCGCAGCCTCGTCGGACTACGGCAACGGCATATGGAAGTGGTGGACGGGCGCCGCCGCCGACACGACGCCAACGCCCGACCTCGAGCTCACGGATGCCGTGTGGAAAGAACTCTTTGCCGCGGTCAACGACGAATACCTCACAGTGTCCAGTTCATCCGATCAGGTGAATATACTCCCCTACCGGTGTTGTGAGTGGCCAATGCTGATGCTGACGGTGATGGGCCAAACACCGTAGGTTGATCGGGTAGACGTCTCCTTGCACATCGCAGAGGGCTCGTTCCAGCTGAAGAATGCTGCTCCTGCCGAGCCCACGGCAGAGAATCTGGCCATCATCCTCTTCGTGTTCAACGGACTCTTCGTCAACCTCAACACCACCACCCACTATTCCCCCATTAAGGTTCGTGCTGTTGCTGCGCGCATTGTCCGTATTGTCATACGTCACCCAATGATCTGCGCCTAAGATGCTTATCTCTTGCATCTCTGTATCTTCATCTGCGCAGATCGATGGCCGGCTCAACACGATGCAGGCCTTCGACTTCAACACGCCCAATACCAAATACTCTTTGCTTCTCACGCCCGCGCCGGCTTCAGAACCGGACGCGCAGGAGGCGTCGGGCGAGGTCGACCCGTGCTTCTTCCGATTCTCGTTTGCAAGCTTCCTGCCCAAGGAAGCCGAAGTGGATTACAAGCTGCGGGTGGACATGCAGCCGCTGAAAGTCATCTTCAACGAAAACATCGTTGCGCGGATATGTACGACCCATTCTGCTGCCATAACGCATTGTCGTCGCCACGACCATGCGTCAGTGCTGACAAAGGTCTACGTCTATTACACACCGCAGCCAGTTTCTTCAGGTCTTCCAAGCAGAACGCGCCGACCCAGGTGGTGGTGCACGACATGGAAGATCGGGTATCGAGCAAACTAGGACAATTTTCCGATCAATCGCATCAACAGCTAGCCTGGCTTCTCGAGTACAAGAAGGTCTTTGACATGCACATCAACATCAAGGTGCGCCTGTCTTTCCTCTCGTTTTATATGTCAAACACTCCTGACAAAACACACACACACACACACAACACAATCCAGGCACCAACGATCGTGGTTCCTCTCTCGTTCGCGGAAGAAAGTTCGGCCCTTCTGCTCGACTTTGGTCATCTCTCCCTGCGGAGCGACCTCTCCGCCGACCAGCGAAGGAAGGAGCGAGAACGCGAGCGCAGTCAGCTGCAGGAGCGGGAGAAGGTGGGCAACGGCAGCAGAGCGGCAGCTGCCACGTCAACCGCCATCGAAGACGACTTCTACTCCAAGTTTAATCTTCGCGTGACCTCAATCCAAGCGTTCATTGTCGCCCCCGCCGTCGGGGCGAGTGCACTGGAGCCTGGCGAGAGGACGCTGGAGGCCGCCCGACGGCAGCAGATCATCGAGAAGTTCGACCTTCACTTCATCATCTGCCTCAACAAGCTCAAATCGACTCCGCTCACCTCGACCAAGTGCGTAGCCATCACTTCAAACGGTGATGCAGGGATGCTGATCGGTTTGCATCCTATTTCGCAGGATTGAGGGTGAGCTCCCGTCGTTGGCGTTCTGCCTGTCGGCGTGGAGCTGCAACAACCTCATGCAGATCCTTGCTGCCCGGCTCATGCCCGCTCTTGGCTCCTCCGACGGTGAAGCACCAAGCGGCCAGACTGCATCGGATGTCGCGGCACCAGCGGCGACCACAACAACAGAACAGCCGGCTGCGAAGGCGGCAGCGCAGGAGGAGGCACATCACCACCATCGTTCCCTGCTGGCCGGACCAATGACGACATCGGCGACGCTAAGGGACAAGAAACGGCTGCAGCTCGATTTCGCGGTGAAGAGCCTGAGTATCTCGGTCTACCGCGAAGCGGAGTGTGTGGACCTCCGCTCGTGCTCGCCCATGGTACGCTTTTTGAAGTCTTGTTGTTTACATTTATTTATTTACATTTAGCCTACTATTTATTTAGTTGTTTGTTGTGGTGCGCCTGACAATCAACAGGTCTTCTTCCGAGCGCAAGGGATGAGCGTACGGTTGGTGCGGCGACTACTCAACATGCAGGTGGACGGCACACTGCAGACGATCCTCCTCCGGGACTACCATCAACCGTGGGGCAACGCCTTCCGCGATCTCCTCGTCCCACAATCGCTTTCTCCCGGGACGCCTCTGTCCTCGCTCGCCCAACCGCTCTTCGAGTTCCACCTCTTCCAGCGCCTCGGGAGCGATCAGTCTACCCCGGCACCGGTGCACTCGAGCGGCGACCGACTGGGTGCCGGGGCCTCGGGGCTGCTCGAAGTGCAGCTTCGCGACCTTCAGCTGATGGTCAACCAAGAGACGCTGGTCGTGCTCGTCAAGTTTGTCAACACCAACCTGCTGCGACCACTCAAGCGAGTCCGGCCGAGCGTCAGCGAGACCACGCCCAGTTCCGCGCTGTCCGTCTCTCCCAGGCCCAGCCCTCACAGCAACAGCGCGGCGTCGTCACCCTCGAAAGCCTCGACGTCGAAGGCTGGGCAGGCCTCACCATCGTCCTCACCGGCGTCGCTGCGGATCGCGGCGAATCTGGGCTGCGTCAAGTTCATTCTCAACCACGGTGGGAAGCATCTGGCCGAGGCCTACCTGGACCGCTCGCGATTCGAGGTCCTCCCCGGACCGAAGGGCACCCGCGTGGAGGGCAACGTGGGCCACCTCAAGCTCCTCGACCTCGCATCGTCG